TTGAACTCTTCTACTTCTACCCAGCTATTAAACTGTCCTCCCAGATTTGCTCAGAGACCAGCAGCGGGCAGGCATGTGGCTCATTGCAGTCGCCTACAGTAGTGGCACTCCTTGAAAAAAAAGACACTGGGACTTTTGACACCTTTTTGAATAACATTTTCAACCAGGAAGAAACAAGTTGCTGTGAGAGCCAAAGGCTGAGAAAGTTGAGGAGCCAGAGGGGGCTGCAGCCCCTGTCCAGTGTCCCAAACCTCTGAAGAGAGTAGGGAAGGTGACTGTTTCAGAGCAGGAAAATCTTCATCTCTCCAACACTGAGCATCCCAAATCTCAGAGACCTTTCTAATTATGCAGCTATTCTCTGCTCTGGGAGGAGGGGGTTTTGTTCAGATTAGGATAAAACAGGAAGAAAAAGCAAATTCCAGTACTTCTCCTGGCTTTGAGGCAAACATTTATTTTTTTTTTCTCCCATGGACAATTCTTATTCCTAACACATTAGAGTTTGCATAAAGAGTTGCACTTTACTAAGGAGGGATAAATTTCCCCTAAAAATGGTTTTCAGGTGATAGAAAGTTTAAGAAATAGGTCTGACTTATATAGACATTCTGGTGAGCTTCATCAAAAGAAAAAAAAAAAACCCAAACAAACATCACACACAGAAAATGGCACTAAGCATCACACTCATCCTCCCCAAGGTTTTCGCTCTGGAGTGTCCACTTGACTCTTGCCATTTGCACCACACAGATTCATATAATGTCAGTGAAACTCTGAATACATAGAGACAATGAGAAAGAGTAAGTAGAGGGTGTAATAACACAAAATGCATTTCCTTTGAACACTGGACTAAGGAAATTTTCTGAAGGGAGGGGGGAAGAAGCATTTACTGTGATTTAAAATCAGTTCTGTGCCATCTGCAGTTTTAAAGACATCTGAAGTTGGTCTTTGGTAGCCCACAGCATGCTCTGAACAACAGTGGTCAGCCGGGTGGGTGCAGTCAGTCCTGTAGCCAGTGGACAAAAGCTAAAAGCCTTCATATTAAAAAAAAGCCCATACAAATATCTGAAAGCTGAAGACAAGTAGTTCTTGTCAAGAAACAGAGATAATATCTTTGAAGGAAAAAGAAGAGTATCCTCAAAACATAATTCTTACACTGTGCTGTGCTTATGGTGTTCGGTGCCCCTGTCATTACTGCACTCCACTACATTTGTTTAACAACACACACTACCACTTGTTTAACACCCAGCCAGTTGGTTTGCATCTCTGAATTGGGTTGTCTTATTTTTGCCTCTCATTCAGAAAACAAGTCAGGTCTCTTGAAAACATCTTCTCATTAGACCACAAATAAAGGTATTCTGCCCTAAGGAGAATTCAGGAGGATTTTGACTACACAGTGATGCATCCCCAGTGCAAACTATTAAGCTTAAGAGTAAACTTTTCAGGGCCTTTAAATTACATACCTCCAAAACACAACACATGAAAACAAAACAAGAAAACCACAAAACAATGTTAAGCTTTCCAAGACTTGAATAACAAATTGTGCTAACACAGAGAAATCGATGACAAAACAGTTCAGAGCCCTGGAATTAGCATATTGTAATTTTCACCAGCGTTCGCTAAGTAAAACAGTATTTGTATCTTATTCCTATGTATACTAAAATGCTAAATACAATCTCTGGATTGAACATCAATAATTCTCCAGGTGTCTGCTAGATTATACTCATTAATGGATTAACTGCTCTCAAAACTGCATCTTTTTTCCCCCTTCCCAGAAGCTGTACCACTAAAACTGTCTACTGGCGCATCTTGCAGATGCCTTTCTCCCTGTGGTCCCTAACATTTATTACTAGAGCATATAAGACACAAGGGTTAGAGAGTACTGGGCTGTGAAGACACCACACAATACTCTCCTCCCACCCAGATGCAGCGGCAGTGAGGAGCCCTGGCTATGCCTCAAATCTCAGACTTCCAGGATGGGCACGACCAGGGCTCACTGCACGACTTTCCACCCCTGCTGGCACACAGGGACAAGCAATGAAAGATTACGCCAAAAAGACGGAAATGATCAACCACAGGGGAAAGCACCGCATGCCTTTGGAGCAGATAGCCTGAGGAGGTTGGGGCAACGCCTCCACGGAAGGATCAGACAAACACAGAAGAGCCAGGATACCACCAATCCTCATTTTCTGAGGTTTCTTCTTCTTGCCTGCTCCTAAATGTGGTCCCTCCATGACCTCAGCCAGGCTAGATATTGCCCACTGGGGGTCTCTTGGGTTTTCAGTCAACTACCACTGACACAAATGCATCAGATGTATTCTCTGCTTGTGAGCAGGGCAGAAGGGTACAAGGGGTTTTGGGAAGGAACAAGTGTTACTTGATTTCCTTCAGCACCTCTGACTCTCCCACTGCTGTAGCACCCAAGTCATATGGCAAGGGAGCTAACTCCCACAGCTCGACCTGGCACAGTCAGGGGCAAAGGCTTGTCAGCCAGCACCACAGTAACTCCAAGCGACTCTTGGGAAGGAGATGGAAAAGGCACAGGCAATTGCAATGCAAAATACTGAACAGCCCTTGATCCTGCCTCAGCAAAATAAAGTTCAGTCCATTTCCTCAACTTTTATTTCACCTATGATTTTATTACCCTTCAAACATCCCTGGAAATACACACACACGCCTAGGGATGGCACATTGTTCAAATGTAAAAGGCTGGAGACCCTGAGAGCAACTAGAAAATTCACCCCCAAACAAGGAAGTCTGGAGATATTTGCACCAGTTGTGATTTCTTTCCCCCCGCCACCCCCCCACATCAGCAAAGTTGCTTTTTGCACACACCCCTCCTTTTTTTTTTTCCCCCAACATCCCAGAAAGAGCTGTAGGGGAGCCTGAGAAACTGGCCTATTATGTCGTGTCCAAAAGCCATCCATGCCAACTCAACATTTAATTTCTTAGCTGTCTTCTGCTGTATCAACTGAGAGTCCATTTTGGAAAGAACCTGGAAACATTTAATGAAACAATTTTTTCTGGGTGGAAGTAAATTCAAGATAGCCAATAATCCTAAGAGATAGATGTCTCCAAGTTGCAATAGTTGGATGTTTTTAAAGTCCATGAATACTCATACACACGGGCATCTTAAAATCAGTGATCCCATCCAGCATGACAGGTCCTGTACCCTACTCGGTGCTCTCTGACCATGACCATGAAGATGAGGAAGAAATCTCTCTACCTATTCAATCTTGAAAAACAATTTTGAGGGGGTTTAGGGCTTTCTGTTTATTTTTAACTCTCTTCTTACAGAGACTGGACATCTGATTTTCTATAACTGTCTATTTAGAAGACGTTGATTGCTAGTATGATGAAGGTAGTGGAGAATTTAAAAAAGCCCTTTATTCTGCTTTGTAAGTGTGGTGAGCTCTGAGGGCTTTATTAAGTGAAATTTTAAAAATTGTTTCTTTTCTAAACAAGGAAATCCCCCATACTCAGCAGGGCAAAGTTCCCCTTTATTTCCATAGTGTAAATAAACCAGAGCTCAGCTCACACTTGGTTAATTAAATAAGAAGACTTTGCCAGCACCTCAAAACAACTCAGAAAATTCCCCTTTCCAACGCTGAAAGAGCTCACACGCTATACAGTTGCAATACACATGCGGGAAGAAAATTTTAAACATATTATTTAAAAAGATACAAAACTTAAGCTAGCTCTTAGCATCTGAGGCCTCTTTCTTAGACTACTTGGTATTACTCTAATTTATTTTTCAGTAAATGCAAACTTTCTACCCAGCTTCTCGTTCATTTCCTATCAATAGTTTCTCCAGAAAGTGTTATCACTGGTGTCATATGTATTATATCAAGTATCCTGACAAATAATATTAAGTCAAACAGCAATTTTAGTCAACTAAAAGGTTTTTCCTGCTGCACACAAAGAGATGACTATGAAAATTTTTTCTCTTAACAGCAAAGGTTTGTTATACATGGAAAAAGAGATCATAAGAACAATTTTATCTCGCACAATGAGGAGCAATTTGGAAATACCCTACACGTTGAAAAAAAATTACTTTTGTCATAATCGTGCATGACTGATCGCATGCAGCTGTGGATTTGGCTTTTAGGGGCCTTCGCGCGGTACGCAATCTCTGCACTATAGTAATGAAATCACTTAAAACAGAAAACAGTAACAATAGATGATGAACTTCCTAAGCCCCCATGTCACCTTCGAGAATTGGATTGCCTCCTCTCATTTTGACAAAGTTGGTACCTTGACATACTGGCATGGATATAAAAAAAAGTGACAAAGTCCATTAACTAGAGTAAACGAGATCTCGGGAGTTTTAAAAATACTGCAGATGTGTTGTAAATCACAACAGAGCCAGTGCAGAAGTCATCATTACTGTTCAAATAACTAACGAGCCCAGGTTTCCAAAATATGAAATGCCATGGCTTCAGCATCTGAGTTACTTTATGGAATTGAAGAAAGAACTAAGAAAACAAAATACAGAAATTTAATGACCGAAAATTTGAGAGGACTTTTTTTAAAATAAAAGAACATCCTCAAATGATGAAGATGGCGGGAGGGCACTCACAAAAATTTGAATCAGAAAAGTAAAAATCTTTGCTGAAACTATAAATCATGGCTCAGAAAAGTTCGCTTGTTGCATGCAGGCAGCTATCAGGAGTTCAGCATCTCCAGACAATTGTGTACTTCTCATAACATCTACCCATTGATCAGTGACGAGTAATTATTTATAGCAAGAGGGGCAGTTGCCGTATTTTTAGGATCCTGTCTACAGCATTCACTGGGGCCTTTCCTAAAGCAGCAGTAAAGCTGCCAGGATTGAGCGGGAGGCTGCCAAGCAGACAAGAAGCTTTAAGCCCACTGCTTGCGTTGTGATGTGGATCCACTCCCCTACCAAAAGCACCGCTAAATCGCTTCTCTCCTTCCACCTCCCAGCTGAGAGGAGCTAAGCAACGTATTTCTAAAACAGCAGCCACGAGCAGCCTTTATGCACGTACCTGTTTCATCGGGTGAGCTCGGCGAGGCGCTGTCCTGGGACAACGTGGTCCAGCTGGAATCCTCATCGCTTGGGGCCAGGTTTTGAATCCTATGGAGGGCACAATCTGTTTTGGCCCCAGTTTTGGGGTGGTCTTTCTTAGTCTCTGGGCTTGAGGACACTGTGGCAACTTGGCCATCCTCTGGGCTTGACAGCTGGTTTTGTTTCCGGGGCAGGACTTCCCCATTGACAATAAGAGTAGAAGCCTGGCTGTTGCTTTGTGTAGATTTCTCTTCCATCGCAACAAAACTCTGCTCTAGCTCTCTAGTAGATGTCTCTAGATCCGCGTAATAATTCAGGAAGCTCTTGGTCCTCCTTGGCTGCGAGGGCAATATCTCACAGCCAGAGGAATCCTGCGGGATCGGCTCTTTGCCTTCAAACTTCTCAGAAGTTACGTTTATGCCCGCAGTGGTACTGAGGTTTTTGTTGGGATCCTGCTGTCCCTGCTCGGCAGCTTTCCTGAGCTGGTTCTCTCCATTCTTCACCAGCTTTATATTTGCAGAGCTGTTGCCCAGAAGGGGCTGAGCTGCTGGATCGGAAAGACCCATGGCTGTCTGAATATTAGTCAGCGCGTATTTTTTCCTGCATTTCGGAGGAGTGCTGTTCTTGGTCTCCGTGTGCCTGATCTCTGCATTCAGAAGTTCATTGTGAGAGGAGCGCAGGTTAAGGGTGTTTGGCGGGGTGGCGGGGCTGTTGCGGTTCACAACGTCCGTCGTGCTGCCGCTTGCCATAAACACGGCCAATGCGTCCACGCCAGAATCAACTAGAAAAGTAAAAAGAGAGAGTCATGAAACACATTCGTTCCATACGCTATATTGCTAGGGCTTCTGGTAAAGGGATGCAGCACGTGACATAATTGGTTTACAGCAGGAAAATTTTCAAAACCTGAGTGGGTAAGAGAATAGACAAAAGTTCAGCTTATTTAACAAGAAGAAACAGAGGCAGAAAAAATACAGAGATCATCAGGACCACGAAGCTGAGAAGAAGCAGAAAGCTTGACCCTAAGCGAGGCAGTTTTAGGGCAGGTTTTCACACCTGACTCTGCTGCAGGCAGTCTTGGGCACAGGGGAAGTGCCCTGGATGTCCAGAAGTCATCCTTACCATCATTTCAATACAGTGTTTCACCTCTACCTCTGACAAGGAGGGGAAGTGCTCCTCAAGCGCTCAAAGCAGAAAATTTGAGAAATTTCCAAGCAGACCACAGACAGATGCTGCTTTTTTCCCATCTAGGGTAGAACTCAAGTACTGTTACTTTTAAACCTGATTGGCCAGTCAGCTGTTGCCTCAAAACCTGTATTTTCTCTGTTCTTTGTCTATCCTTCCTTTAGACTTGTTTTTTTTGTACCTTTTTTTTTTCCCCTTAGGTGAGGAAGTAGAGGGTTAGGGTGTAGAGAATACAAGTAGATTATTTCACAAAAGTGTACTTGACTTCTATGGGGGGAAAAAAATTCTCTTGACAATATATCCCGCTCTAACTTAATCAGAGCAGGGACAACAATGGCTCACCTATTTCTATACCTCAAGAAATTCAAAATTAAGGATAAAATGTATATCCTAGGGTAGAGCACACACCGTTAAATAAAAACACTCTTTTGCCTACTTGTAGACAACTTTCTGATTTTTGCCAGCCAGGGGTACAGCTCACATTTTGAAAATACTAAGTCTCTTAAGGGAACAGATTATCAGACTATGAAAAATGATTAAAATAATGTATTTTTAAAAACTTAAATTTGTTCCTGTACTGTCTATTTATGGCTCCCACTAATCTACACAAATATTCCATGAACACCTCAATTTACATGCTGTAGTCGTCACTGTTGTTTGACACCTGGCAACCAAATTAGAGGCCAATTAATAAATCACTCCCATCTGCCACAGCATGGAACACCCTTACTGTTGTTCCTGATTCTCAGATATCACTGACTGCTTATAATGCACACAAAAACATGTCTGGGGCTTATCCAGGAATGAAAAGCTGTAACGTGAGCTAGCCGATGACAGATCCTTCCTACTGAGTTGCGCTGCATTCTTGTATATTTGATATATGACAGAACTGACTGCTGTACAGATCTACAAGAGATTAAATATATGGGGTTTAAAAGAACATATACATAAATACAGAGTGAAAAGGAGCACTTCACAATGTTACCTAAACACACACATGGCTGCTAGTGTTCCTTCTTCTCTGATACGCTGTCAAGGCTGCGTACTTTCAACCACCACTCTGGTTCATTTAAAAAAACCAAGCAGACCAAGTATACTCTGTTCCCTGAACCATCCATCTAGAACAGCTCCTGAAACTTGTGCAGAACAGAATTTAAACTAAATTTTACAAGTTTTCATGTCTGCCATTTCCTCAAGCCCCACTCAGTCTAGACCAACTGCAAACTCTTCTGAAGACGGATCACCCCACGCACACTGCAAAACCCATCAGCCTAGGTAACAAGTAACAAACATCCTACAGACAATTTCAGCTTTAGCCACAGAAGACTTTTAAAACACAACCATCACATAATTTAAAGGAACTTTATAAATGTACTTCTCATAGAAATACATCTATAAATGATGCTTTCTGAATCTCAACTAAAATTAATCAAGTCTTATATAAACAATATCCTACATACTGTTACCAAAGCACAGGCTTTAATCTAAAAACATGAAATGGCCTGTGTTTATGGACTGGTTGCTTTATACTCTTTCTGAATCTGTTAAAAGCTTGACAATTTGGAAGTCACATAAAAAATAAATTAGTAGGGCAGGATAATTTTGACCCAGTACCCGAGTTATGGAATTGCACAGTATATATTTACTTCACTAGATTACATTTTATTTTATGCTCCAGCAAATTAAAACGAGATTTTTTTTTCATCAATAAATAAAACTGCCGCAATCTGGAACAAGACTGAAATTTATTCTTGTTCTTTGTTACAAGTGAGCTGCTTCATACAACGTTCGCCACTATTTTTACCACTGAACACATTTCTTAAAAAATTATCTTCCTGGATAAAGATTAAGTAGCTGCCTGTCAGATTATCTTTAGCCAATCTCCTACCATTAGCAATCCTCTTACCAAAAATACTGTAAGAACAAGCACATAGAAACATTGAATTAAAATGTATTGTGCTTTACTCATCTGATTGATAAAGCTCCCCCGTGGATTTACGATGAATGTTGCCACACTGATCAATCACTTGGCCAAAGCCTCCAGAAGCCTTTGCAACCCAAGCAGTGCTTGCAAGTTGGCTGCTAAATTGGGTTGTTGTAGGATCGTAAGCAGAGAAACATCAAAATGAACCTTTCACTAGACACCACCTCCCCTCCTGACCCCCTTTTCAGATCATCGATGGGCACACAAACAGTACCACAAGCACAGAGAGGAGCAGGCTGTCCTCTCAGAGGACAGGGTGCCTGCTCACTGGCCAACACCCTGCACCCCCAGCCAGGCTTTGGGATGGGAGCAGAGGGCATCCCTCCACTCTCAGAAAGAGATATAAATGTGAGGAAGAAGGAAGCAGCAAAAGAGGCAAAAAAAGAATAAGAAACACAGATGGGAAGGAGGAGGTCTTGTGTCTCAAGTTGCTACCAGATCAGGACTAACCGAAGTGCTGGAAAACATTTGAACGCAAGGAAATGCTCAGTGGGTTGAGCGCGGTGCTGACAACAATGACAACACCGAGGTCGCAGGTTCGATTCCCACTTGGTCCCCACATGTTGCCTGGTCTAGTCGAGAGGTGGCGTCCCTGCCCATGACAGGGAGGTTGGATTAAATGATCTCTAAGGTCCCGTCCAACCTAGGCCATTCTATGATTCTATGAAATGCTCAAATGCACAGAAAAAACCCACCCTGGACTGTGCAGCAGAACAGCTTAAGGAAGAAGAGTGACAGCTGGTCATGGTGGTGCTGGAAACACATCACCTTTCCCAGAGGATGCACATCCCAACCATCTAATCAAAAAGCTAAAGGAAATGCAACTTCTTTCTGTGCCTGCAAAAGACCAAAATTCCCCTCACTGACTCCCCACATCCCTCCGACCCTGCCTCCCCTGCCGCAGTGGTACCTGAGGCACGTTGGTGCTGCACCCATCACCTGCTACCCAATGCCCCATGCCAGGGGTCCTGCACCCAGGCACCCCACGGACAGGCAGACCCCGTCCCCCCTGCTCGGGCAGCTCCTCATACTGCCTGGCTACCAGTAAGGACACTGCTACTGGCACAGGGCACCCTTTTTTCAGCTCCTTCTGCTGAAAAGCAAACACAAAGGGAGAAGCAGGGGGGAACCCCGGAGTTGGTTGCGTGTATCTTGGCTCAAGCAGGGGAATTAGTGGTAAGTTATAAGCAGGTAAAAATAAGAGATTATAATTAAAAAAAAATTGGACTCTGGTGTAAAACTAAGACTAATTAGAACGTTATCTTTACTGGGAATAGCAACATATTATTGAAATGCTAGTACTTAAAGGCAGCAGCTAAGTAGATAAAAGATCTGTCACAGCAATTCATTGATGGGTTTAGCTTGCTTGTTTTTTAAAACAAATCACTGTCTCAGCTGCATAATTTAACATTTAGAAACACACCTACAGATATTAATATACTTTCACCACTATAATGTGTTATACACAAAGTAGTCCCAATTTTCATAATAATACAAATAGCACTATTACTCAAATGGCTTTTATTGATGTTTTTCATCCTTGTCATAAAAGTCACAGAGCTAGAAGGAGAGAGCAAATACCATTGAAAACAGAAAACAGTGCATGACTGATGTGTCTTTGCCTCTAATAAGACTTTTTTGCATTGTATTGTCTACAGGAATAGTTCTTAAAAAGCTGAATAAAGAGTTTATTCAAAAAGGGACTGTTAAAAAGAAAAGAAAATGTTTGCTCTTTTTCACGTGTAAGTGCAAAATGAAAGCAAAATATGGACCTGTGAAGAAGAAGGAAAAGAGGAGGCAAGTTTCACATATTTGCATAGCAGAATCTTTTAAAGGGCATCTGACCTGGAAGTACTTCTGACATGGCTCACGTGGCGTCAGCAATGCATCAGGAAATAGATTATAATTTGAAATCTGAAAAGAGGGATCATTTAAGAATTAAAACCAAAGGAAAATACAAAATAAAAACACCACATTTCAGAAGCTCCTGAGAGACATTAAGCATTCTATAACAAACTCTGAATGTAACAGTGAGGATATTCTCAGCTTTCAATGATACCTGACAGTCATTAAAGTATGGGAGTCTACAGCAGCAAAACCAAGTAATTATAAATTATTATGACATTTTTCTTAATGGATGCTTTACTAGGAGCACAAGTTCAACAATACTCTTCAGTTTTAATCAACATACTGTAGCAAAAACTTCATGACATTAGAAAACCTTGTTTTTTCTCCAGTCGCCCAACTACAGCTTACTGCAGAAACTACAGGAGCATTGATGAGAAAAAATATCGCAGTATGTCATGTTCACATTGGGATTTGCAAAATGACATCCAGTTTGTGAAATTTAAGAAGGACAGTCTGCAGGGTTGATTCCACAGGAGAGAATCTTCAAAAGGAAGCTAGCCAACAAGCCCCTGTACAGGACTCTTTCCAGGCCAGCTTCTCAAAAGTAAACCATTTTGCGTTAAAGCCTCTGGTTTGGATGCGAATGACACATGCTCTGGGAGACAAGGTATTTCTATGCACTTCAGACTATTTCTGCCATTGTGTCCAGGAAACATAAGGAAAGAAATAATACAAACCTTTTCATAACGCAGATTGTCTTTCTGCAAGGGTATCTACTGAGTACAATCATGTCATGGGGCTACGGCCTCAGGTGCTCTACATTTTGGCTCTAGTTAAAGCCTAAGCAGCTGGAGAGAATGCCTCCATTATACAGCGATTGCAACTCAACGCTAGCTAACTCACTCTGCTTCAAAACGGTGAATTCTCGCATTGAAGCATTAATTCTTAATTAAGTATGCTTACACACCGTATTCTCACACCTGCATTCTTTCTTCAACTAAGCCCAGTCAAACGGTAATAGCTAAACCGACATCAGACAAAAGCATCCCGATAAAATCTAGATTTACATTAATGTAGCTGAAACTAGAATTGAGACTAGAAGCTTTCTTAGTGTCAGATGTCATCGTGCTACTTCTTGCCTACATATCTACACAAATTCCAGGCAATGTTAAACCCTTTCAGAAGGGAAAAAGAAGGAAAACACTTGAAGTGCTGTGGTAGATCAGAGTAACTGATGATAGAGTAACGGAACAGAGTAACTGTTCCTACAGCCAGCGGTTTTCTTCTCGTTGGTCCTCCGGCAATGACATCTCTGCCAGACTGAGCTTGGAAGTTGAAGAGAGAAAGCTCAGCACAGCCAAGAAAGCAAATTCCAATGGGGAGCAGAGCAGTTTTGGCAATGCAAGAGCTGGAAAAGGAGTAGGCCTGCAACCAGCTCGCACATGGGCTCTCAAACCCATCTGCAGGCTTCTCCACACAAACCTCGGAGTTCCTGCAGATGGGAAGGACCTCTCAAGATTGTCTAATCCAACCTCCCTGCCCAAGCAGGGAATCACTGCTACCCTCTCCTCTCCACCTTGGCTCTGTCCTCACAGCAGAACAAAATAACCACTTCAACCTGCTCGCTAAATGCAGCTTCTCCCATTTTGAGTCATTTCTGCTTCACTTAGTCCTACTGAAATAATTGGCATCCAGTAACCAGGCTTCTGTCTTGGCTCCTCTGTCCCCATGAGGCGCCCTGTCAGCCCCTGCTGCCATGATAATGACATTTTGCCTTTTAGAGCTAATCATGCTGCCAAACGACTGCAACAGTCTAGTAGCAGTGCTGTCTCTGTTCTAGTGATGCTCTCATTAATGGAAATCCATAATGCTGATTTGTCTTTAACTAATATCATAAAGGAAAAAACAACTTCAGATCCTCCAATGAGCTCTGGCACTCAAGGAGAAAATGCCTTCCCATTTGCCATTCTCCCTCCCCCTTCCCACACAAGTCAAATTCCTCATCCAGAAAAAAAACAGAGACAAGATGCTGCTGAGAATCAGATTCTAGCAGCTACAAAGCAAAAAGAAAAACAATAATGATGATAATAACAAAAAGAAACGTGCTAAATCCATTGCTCCTTTACTTAGGATTTTATTAATAGAGACACATTTAAATAACCAGTGTATATTTTACGACCTTACTGAAAATCTTATGTTGCAGATGGTCTGGGTCATCTTATGCTACTAGAGTATTGTTAAATCAAGTGATCACCTGGAGAAATAAGGAGCAATTCTTTTATTTATATGAGGCATAACCACGACATGCAATCACAACTAATCTTGCATTTAGTAACGGAAGAAACAGGATGGCATACTAAGTCTTTCCAAATTAAATTTTATCCCTTTAATTAGATTTCCCCTCTTTTGTAGAATGGAACGGTCTGGGAGACAAAAACAGTGCTGTCACAGCAAGAAGATGGAGTGTGGTTTATCTATTGGGTACTTGGAAGCACAGATAATAAGACCTTCTGTCATCAGATCTATATATTCACAGTGACATTTGTTAAGTAAACCTCAGCCATTTTTTCTAATCCTGTTGTGTAAATTACACTCCTGAGCTTTAACATTATTTTTGTTTTCAATCAAGACATAAATTACTCAATCTGTACAATAAAGATCACACCTCAGACTTTATTTGCTAATTAAAAGCTACTCAACTTTAAATGCATGTGCTAATACAGGGTACAAGCACAAACTTCATTTTCTCTCGGAGACACAAATTCAGAAACCGCAACTTAAATTTCTGCAACTTTGCTGACCAACAAAGCAAGGACTTGGTCTTCTGTATCCTGTAATCTCAGTCTCAAGTGCCATCCAGAAATAACTCTTACCAAGTCTAAAGGTAAACAATGTGTCATCAAACCTGATCAGAATTACAAAACCCAAAGAAAGATGTCATATGAAAAAGAAGCTAGGTTAAGCTGTCTCAGGAAAAAAAAGGTAACCAAAATGCTTTGTAGGACAAGCAGCCTACCTGTATGTTTAATGGAATAACAGAAAGGAATCAATGGCTGCAGATTTTGCATATAAAATGACTTAGACTTATACAGAGTGAGTCCAGACCAGGAATTTTCAGCCCGATGTAAATTTAACGCAGAACATTCAACAGCTCCTAAAAGATGAAGCAAAACCATTCAAAAGATGATCAATTCCTTAACACAGTTAAGGAAACCCAGCAGTGCCCAGTATCAGCTTTCCAGCTGTTGACGATGGCACTAGCCCAAGCTCAAAGCTCTTAGACAAGCAGAGAAAGTAGGAAAGAGACTAAGAGTAGGTCACAACATTATTAACATTAGGAACAAAAGTGTTAACTGAGCCCCTATCAGATGCAATGGATGACTTAACTTCCAGCACAGATGCTGTGCTGGACAAAAAATAAAAAAAATAGATGATTATCATTTACCACCTCCCACACACCTTGTCTGTGGCCCTGCTATTTGCAGCTTGCAAACACTCGGCTGTTCCTGCAAAGCCTAGAAACGACACTGCATATTCCTGAGCACAATCCACTTCTCCAAGAACAACTACCTGCATGCACATAAATGCAGACATTCCAGCTTCTCTTTTTAAACAAATATATTTTAACAATTACAGTTCTGATGGCCTGGCATAATGATTTCACTTGCTACAACTTCATCTGCCCTCTGAATTATGTGTAATAAATTTATGTCTAGTAACACATTACGCTTTTATCGAGGTTATCCAGAAATATTTTTACCCTCATATTACCCAGACGGGTAGCAAAAGTTTTGAGTCACCTATAATCTGACTCAAAGTTGAGATGTTAAAATGCATTTGAAAAAGCATGGTACACAAAATTTTTTTTTCTTATTACTATAAGATTGTACTTAATGTTAAATTGAGGTCTAGAGATGAGAAACTGAAAATTAAATAAATGGTAAATAATCTTTCAGTAGATTCTCTACAATTCTATACAAAATGAATAAAAATGCATATATAATCAAAAGTGTAAATGCAAGGAGTGAAAACCTCTAATTTCACTAATTCCTGTTTGCAACTAATTTCAAATTGCTAACTATAAGTCAAAACCTAAGAGAGGAAAAAAAAAAGTCCAAGTCTTAGTCACAGAACAGAGCATTGGATTGATTGCCAGGTTTTGCAACCAGTGATCTCAAGGACAGAAAATTAAGATCCTGCACATTGACAAGCTTGCTTCTGTTCCACATACATTAAAAATATTCTGTATGTCACCTAGGAAAGGTTATTGTATGTGCACTTGAACTACATCTGCTAAAACTCTCTTACAGTTGGACTCGCATGTCCTACCCACATATCCCTTGCTCCCAGTAATGGAACAGGATGTATTTCAGAGCACAAGTTGTATAAAACCAGAAACAGTCTCCACATTTCTAGTCTAGTTTTCCACAGAAAGCTGATCTAAAATAAGGCTACATCTCAGCAAGGCTGAAAGATGCTGACAAAGTTACGTATTGTCTTCATCCGAACTTTAATGGGACAAATCAGAAATACTTCAAAACACACCAACAGTTTATAAACTTAGTGTTGCAGTATTGCTTAAATTGACAAAATGCTGAGAGATTCCTAAAACAGCCACACCCTAGAGTAACTCTCCACGTAATCATGGTACTAGCATACAGGAACAACTTTAATCTCGGTCTGCTATGGCAAGTAGAGCTCCTTAAGAATGCTGTTGTACTACACTGAGAAACTTCTACCCATAGTGCTCATATATAAAACAAAACCACAAACTCATAAATAAAACCAAAGTATCATATTTGCTTCGTGTTCCCCATAAACTAAACAGATCAATTAATAGTAAAGGGCAAGGAGAGCACAGGAAAAAAGCAACTGCACTTACTGGCATTTATACTAATTACACTAAAGTGTGGCTAAAAGCGGACTCAGTTTCAACAAAGAGCAAACTTGGCAGTAGAAGACATTGAACAAGTGGAAAAGAACAGGCTACTAGTATTATTGGCCTGAATTTCAGCA